GTCCCAGGGAGTCCCTTCAATCTTCACTTTCCAGAAACTTTTTGAACATCGATGTTCCCCTTTAAACATCGCTGTCTTCCCAAAACTTTTTGTTTTCAACCAAAACCAGAAACTTTTTAAACAGCGATGTCTTACCTTCAACATCGATGTCCATTTTTACAAATTTTTTTTCCCAATCGCAAAACAGCGATGTAGGATATATAACCCAACAGCGCTGTTCTAATGGGTTCAAACCCTTATACAATTCCAGAAACTTTTGGAACATCGCTGTAGGGTACCCAACATCGCTGTCCCATTGACACTTTTTTTTAAAAACTTGACGCACAACAGCGCTGTTCTGAATTCCACCAGCGCTGTCTCAACAGCGATGTCGCCTCCAAAACATCGCTGTTCAGGTCAAATTTTTCAAAAAAAATACCCGTTGGGCACTGAATTAAATGCTCCAACTGCCAGATTTTTGAATTTTTGAACGTTGGAAACCTAATCCTATATATATTTCGCCTCCTACTTACCTTCTTCTCACATCTAAACTCAATCTTCTTCAATCTCCTTGCATATTTTATCCTCTCTAACATTTTTTTTTGAGATTTCTTCATCACCATGGGCAAAGACAAGAGTAGGGCTGCTACCTCCGGGAAATCAAAGTCTAAATCCCGGGCACCGTCCACAACCTCTGAGGAACGCCTCTACTACGGCGATGGGTCGTACCTCTGGTTCAATTCCGAGGAGGAGCGCACCCGATTCCTCACCTTTTTCTCTAAACGGGTTGTGGCTCCCCCACGGATCATCCCGGAGCGCTACCCGGAGTTGCAGGGCTACGACGACCTCGATGCGCAGCTCCATCAAGCAGGCCTTTGGCCGTTCGTCTCCCGGGCACGCAAGGAGATCAACCCGGCGCTGATCCGGGCCTTCTACTCCAACCTCCGGCGTGAGGATGACGTGCTCTACTCGCTCGTCAAGAGCACGCCGATCGAGCTCACCGTGGAGCAGCTTGGGCGCATCGCCGGCCTCCCCTTCCAAGGCGACGATG